TTAAATCACAGATAAATCACAACAAACACTACTCGACCCCCGAGGAGGAAGAGCAGCGAAAACTTAATTTCTTGAATTCCCTGCAAATCGTCGAAAAACACAATGAATTGTATAAAAAGGGCGAAAAATCGTACGAATTGGGTATCAATCTGTTCTCAGACCTGGTATGCAATCCACTCATTAACTAATTGTTAGATTTTATAGTAAATTAAAATATATTTCTGAATGAATAGAGCGCTGATGAGTACAGAGCAATGTTCCGTATGCCTGACCCCACTGTCCGAAAGCCAGAGTCGGCTCCGGCATTCATCGCCAACCTCACTGTTGCCGCCCCTCAGAGCTTTGATTGGCGCCAACAGGGAAAGGTGACCCCCATTAAGAACCAGGGTGGTTGCGGATCGTAAGTTTTATTTCATTTCATTTACTATAATATTAATTTAATGCTAAATTAATTCGCATTAAATAACTATGATATTTACTAATTTAAACTAGATGATAAACATATTTTTATGAAGCAAAGTTTGCTACTGGCAAATTGCTAGGTTATAAATATAATTTACTAATGTCAACTTTCTGATAAAACAATTTATATTTGCAATTATATTAGTATTTGAAAAAATAATTACAATTTTACACAATAGATGACAATTAATATTTCATAACTTTAAAAACATAAAACTTTTAACAAAAAGTTTATGAAAAGTATTTTATTTGACTAAACAGTACCATATTTGATAAATCTCGACCAAATAAACTAATTCACGTTGATTGTAAACCTACAGGTGCTGGTCATTCAGTGTGGTGGGTGCCATAGAGTCGTTGTACGCCATCAAACACAACCAAAACCTGGACCTCTCAGAGGAACAAATGGTGGACTGTATGAACAGTAAGTGCGGCGGGGAATGGATATACGACGGCTACAAATACGTGATCGCCAACGGTTTGGAGACCGAGTCGGTCTACCCGTACACCGCCGGTTCCGGTAAATACAACGCGTGCAAAGAGCAGAAGTCCTCCCCTCACACCCACATCAGTAGCTACCAGTCCCTCGGCAAAGGTATCTCAGAGGCCCATGCGTTGGCCACCGACGCCGAGATCATGGCAGCCGTTCAGATCCAACCCGTGTCGATGATGTTCAACGCCGCCGGCAGTGACTTCTCCGGCTATAAGAGCGGTGTTTTGACCCACAATGACATGGGATGGACTGGCTCACACGCCGTTATCATCGTGGGCTGGGGTACC